TTTTAATTAGTGAGAATGATAAATTAAGTGAAAATTGAAAATTCTAAATACCCAACTTTTTTTCTTTTAGATTAACAATTTTTTAAATCATTTTAAGAAATTTGAATATTTTAATTTTTCTTTATAATAATTTTGCCTACTTTAGGCCTAAACTCTTTATGTCTTATTTTTATTATTATTATTATTTATTTTAAAAGAAAATCTCTTTCCGTGGGTTGGTATATTTATCAAATTCGCTCAAACCTTTGAGTTCGGACCGAACCCAGCCCACTTGGCTCATTTGCTTGGACCATTTGAGTTGGGCTCAAGACTGACCCAGGTTCAGCCCACTCACTCATAGTCGGGGTAATGACCAACCGACACCATGGAGGTGGAGTTGGCTGGGCTGAGCTCATGTCCAAACTGATCCCAGGCTCATGTCCAAAATTAAAATATATGTAAGTTGCTTTCTTTTCAGCTGTCAGAGTGTTTCGTTGGTATACATTTTAAAATTAATTTTTTTAATTTATATGAAACTTATAATTTTAAATGAATTTACTCATTTAATAATATATAAAAATTATATCAAAAATAATTTAAAAAATTATCTTATAACACCGTATATTTTTTTTAATCGGTTCAAATTTCCGATGTAAAAAAGAGAAGGTTCAAATTTCAATTGGTTCTTACAAACTTCGTAGTCCTCGTTGATATCGACAATGAGGTCACATTGGGTGGTTGTGGCACTTTTGACGGTTATTATAATTTACAATGATAAAGAATATTCTAGAAAGTGGTCAAAGTCGGTTTTGTCATACCGCAGAAACATTGGGGTCGCTTCTTTGTTCATTCATCTGTTCGACTTTTATATCCACGTTCTCCATGACGCTCCAAAGGACAAAACCAAAATTCATCCTCCATCACACAAGTTATTAGTTTGGTCAAATCAAGCCACGCGGCTACTTTTCCTTCTTAGTTATAAATTTGAAAAAAGCACAGCAACCGCCTTAGTCTTCATGCTATATATACATCATATAGCTCCAGTACTTAGGACGTACGAGGTGACCAGGTTGCATCTCCGGAACCTGAACAACTC